GCGCGCGCGCGCGCGCTCCCTCTGGCTTCCTTATGCTATCTAACCTATGGGAGATGGAAGAGAAGAGAAAGTGAAAGAAACAGACGTCATCCTTGAGGCTGCCAGGTTCCCAGTGTTCAGTGTCCTGTTGAGGAAGACCTCTCATTGTCTTCACTGTCTCCAGAACCAGCACCTCCCTTAAACACAGCAGGCACTAATGAGTCAGAGCTGCAGACCAGTCAGGTCAATTCACCTAACCCAGGCCCCTGCTCCCCGTTGCCCTATAGCTCAAGCCCCCTCATCTACTCTGGGAATCATCCCTGTGTTCTCAGCCTCCAAAGAATTCTGGTGGAGCAAAAGAGAGTGAATTCCACCCAGTCATGGGGGGGGCACCTAAACTGAAGGAGTGGGGTACCTCTGGCTGTTGCTTCCTCTGAGAGCCCAGAGGGGGAGGAGAATTGGGAACCTGGAGGAGGAGGGGTAATGGAGAAGAAGTCATTGCAGATGGAGCTAAAAATAGCTAGAAGAGATGATGTCATCGAGTTCCCTCTGCTTATCACCCCCCCATACACATACATAGAAACACATAGTCACATTCAAAGTCCCAGATACACAGAGACATAAGCAAAGGCATGTATACACACACTGCACACAGTGATATTGGTGAAGGAGGCGTTTGGGCCTCAGGGCTGCAAGGGCAGGGAAGTCTGGTGAGTGTGTCTAGGTGTGTGTGTCTGATTTTGTATGTGTATGATTTCATGTATCTAAGTTTATATGTTTGTGTTCTTGTGTCTGGTTGTATGTATGTTTGTGTCTGTATATGGGCATGCCTCCTGCAAGGGGATGGGTGGGTATCTATTGCATTGTTGTTAGTGCTGATCTCTGTTTATAGCATGGGCCTGAATACACGCATTTGCTAATTATGGTGTATATCTGTGAGTCCACTTATTATTTACAAGTCTACATTTGTAAGTAGACTATGTCATGTGTTTGTATGTACAGACCCTTTATGGGCCTTGGACACCAGTCCAGCTACCTTCTAGGTGCAATTAATGTCCAGCTTGTTTTCATACCAAGGAGCCCAGCACTCTCTCAACCCAGTGTGACTGTGAATTATCTTCCCTAGCCCTCCCTTCAGGATCCCATGCTCTGGCAGGCTTATAGTAGATGTACTTAACTCATTTTCCTCTCATAAGAGGAAAATGATGTTAGCTAGACTTATTAAACCTCAGAGGATAGGTCACCAAAGGTCTTAGGGATTACTCCCACCCCCTAATCCTCACACTAGCCCATGCACAAATCAACTCATTAGAGACAAAGACACTCACAGTATTGCTACCACTAGACACAATCCCACAGAAACACAACTCACAGAAACCTAGTTAAACCCTATGACACATGGGCACGCACTCAGAAATCCAAATGGAAAATCCCCAGGCCAGACAGAGCGCAACACCCTCCCCTGTTCCTGGACTCAAACTCAGTCTTACCCCACCCCCAAGTGGCCCAGCTCAGCTGGCAGTCCTGGAAAACGCTGACCTCAGAGAGTGGCTGGGGGCTGAAGGTGACATGTCCTCCTACACTAACCATTCAGCACCCCCTCTCTCCTGCAGGCTGCCCCCTCCCCCTCCTGACCTTCATTCTCAGCTGAGCCAAAGCTGCTTTGGTTTGCCTCACAAGCACTACTTGACTCTCACAGCTGACAGCAGAAGCAAATTCAGTCACAGAGGCCTATCTAGTCACATGTGCCTTAATGCTCCCATTCTCCTGTCACACATAGGAGCAGCCACACATACACACTGACCGGCACCAGTGTACCTCATACTAGAGCTCTTGTGGGGTTCTGTCTTTCATCCAGTCTCTCTCTTTTCTGTGCCTTCTTGTTCTTCCCAAGACTCCTTGTGCCCATGGGAGTGTAAGGCAGGAGAGCTCCTTACCTCACAGGGCAGATCAAAATGCTGAGGACAAAGATGGGTTTGTCTGGCTGACCTTGTCCTGTCCTTCCACTGTCTAACTGTGGTCTACATGAGCTGTCAATAAAGCTCTCCAGCCTGACCCTATCCTCATGTCCTACATAGTTGGAAGACCTCAGAATGGAGTCAGACAACTTAAGCAGAATGATTGTATTTGGTGTTCACCAACAGCCCTCTGGAGGAGCAGGTCCAGTGCAAGCCAAGTATCTGGGCATTTCTAGAGGATCAGAAAGCCCCCAGGTTGACAGAGGTGTCTGAGAACTGGAGAGAGAAAAGAGAAGGAAGAATATTAAAAAGGAAAAAAGGGGGGGGCATTTGTGGAAACTGGGGGAGATAACTCAGTGAAGCCCTAGTCTTCTGGGCCACCCCAGAATCCATTTAAAAAGGCTGGGCAGGGTGACACATGCTGATCATCCCAGCACCGGGGAGGCAGAGACACATGGATTCCCTCCTGTCCAATGGTCAGCCAGCCTGGCCTACTTGACAAAGTCCAGGTTGGTGAGAGACCTGTCTCCAAAAAAGGAACATGACATCCAAGGTTGTCCTTAGACCTACACATGCATGCATGCACACAAAACAGGCATGTGTGAAAACTTCACCTCTCAGCCATCTCCCTCATTTCTGTCACAGCCATGTCATTTTTCATTAAGGCTCTTAGCATTTGGTGATGTGTGCCTTCAAGACCCCACCGTACCCTTGGGATGGAATTTCACAAATTGTCCTTTAGAGCCCCTAAGCAGAACAGAGACTACTTCTATTTTTCAAATCCCCACCCCGAGTCACACATTCCGGAGCCCACTGACCTTGAGGTGAGAGGATCCACACACTAGTGGTGGTAGTGTTGGTGTTACTGATGTTTGTGGCCATAGTGGCAAGACTGGTGGCAGCTGGACTTCGGGGCTTCTGCCGGTATGTTCTTCGGCTATACTTGAACATCCTGGGACACCGGCGCCGGTGCCCACCCATACCTGGCCTTCGGTAGGGAGAACTCATGCCCCGAGGCCGAGGAGCACGGACGAGCTGAGAGGGCCCCATGACTGCAAAGAGCTTCTAAGGGGCTCTGCTGACCAGGACAACTGAGTTCTCTATGACATATGGAGCCTGCCTGAGGGTGGTCCTCTTTGTTACAGGTTTGTCCCACCCCCACCCATACAGAGATCAGACTTCCTCACAATCCCCTTCTTGGAGCCTAGCCCAAGAGCCAGACAACCACAGCTTGGTCCCTTGGGGAAAGGAACTCTGGTGTGTGTGTGGGGGTGTCACACCTACTGTGTGCCAGACACTAAACTTAGTACTTCACAAACACGATTTCACTGAATCCTACCACAGCCCTATGAGGAGATTCTATCATTAATCTTATTTATAGAAGTTAATGCTCACTCTTCCGGTTTTACAAAGTCATCATAAACACTGAATTAGCAAATGCTGAAGGTGGGTATCGTGGCACAGGAGGGGACCTCTGTGAGTCTGAGGCCAAGCACGTCTACACAGAGCAGCAGTTTTCAGTTTGTTGGTGAAGACCCCTTTGGAGGTGGAATATCAGATATCCTGCATATCAGATATTTACTTTATGATTCATAACAGTAACAAAATTACAGTTATGAAGAAGCAACAAAACTAATTTTATAGTTGGGGGCCACCACAACATGAGGAACTGTATTAAAGAGTCACAGCATTAGGAAGGTTGAGAACCAATAACTAAAGAGTTCCAGGTCAGCCTATGACTACATAGTGAGACCACACCTCAAATAAACAAACAATAATACTGAATCACTCATTACTTCTTTTTTTTTCTTTTAAAAATTATTTATTTATTTTATATGCATTGGTGTTTTGCCTGCATTTGTCTCTGTGTGAGGGTGTCAGGTCCCCTGTAACTAGAGTTACAGACAGCTGTGAGCTGCCATGTGGGTGCTGGGAATTGAACCCAGGTCCTCTGGAAGAGCAGCCGGTGCTCTTAGCTGCTGAGCCATCTCTCTAGCCCCCTTGGATTTTCAAGACAGGATTTCTTTTTTTTTTTTAACATTTTTTTAAAAGATTTTATTTATTTATTATGTATACAACATTCTGCTTCCCTGTATATCTGCACACCAGAAGAGGGCACCAGATCCCATAACGGATGGCTATGAGCCACCATGTGGTTGCTGAGAACCGAACTCAGGACCTCTGGAAGAGCAGTCAGTGCTCCTAACCTCTGAGCCATCTCTCCAGCCCTTTTTAAAAAGACTTTATTTATTTATTTTATATACTCTTCTGCCTGCATGCCAGCAGAAGGCGCCAGATCTCATTTAAGGTGGTTGTGAGTCCCCACGTAGTTGCTGGGAATTGAACTCAGGACCCCTGGAAGAACAGTCAGTGCTTTTAACTGCTGAACCATCTCTCCAGCCCTACAGGGTTTCTCTATAGCTTTTGGATCCTGTCCTGGAACTCACTCTGTAGATCAGGCCTCAAACTCACAGAGATCCGCCTGCCTCTGCCTCCCTATTGCTGGGATTAAAGGTGTGTACCACCACCGCCTAGCTTGTTGCTTTGTTTTTAAGACAAGGTCTTGCTTTGTAGCCCAGACTGGCCCGAACCTACAGCAATACTCCTGCCTCAGCCTCCCAAGAGCTAGAAGCAATGAGCAATTATCCTCCAGTGAGTCATCTCTTTAATATGTAGTGTAGAATCTTCAACACTCAACTCATAAGCAACAGCGATATAACTGTCTGAATTAAGGTTATCTAACATGGTGGTGTAAGCCTTTGATCCTGGGAGACATAGCAGGCAGGTCTCTGAGCGTGAGGCCAGTCTGGTCACAAAGCAAGTTCCTGGACATGCAGGGCTACACAGAGAAACCCTGTCTCTCAAACTCCCGCTCCCCAAAACAGGAGGTCGGGCATCTAACACATACATGTCCTCTAAAGTATTTCACCACGTTCTTGTGCTTAGGAATACGAGATAATAGTACTTTATCACCACTGGGGCCACTTGGGCCAGCAACATGATTAATGACATAATCATCATCATCATCATCAACAACACACACACACACACACACACACACATACATACACAAAAAGAAAACCTAAAACATTTGAATAAAAAAATGCCAGCAGTAATTAGGCTGCTGGGCAAACATTAGTTTATAAGAGCTGAAACATGTTTCCAAGCTCAGGCAGAGAATCCTCCTAGTCAATACACCTCAGCTGGAAATGTGTGTTTGGCACTTAGAGCTTTTACCTCTGTGTACATCCTCTGTGAATAAATGCAAAAGTGACCCAAGACTCGGTCTTGTGGTTACAAGTGAATGCGGTGACTAGGGGGATTCACAGACGTGGAATCTGAACAATGAAGATTGACTATATAAGGAAACCAACCACCTCGATGAGGTGTAGTCATAGAATTAGAGGTAGTCCGGGTTCAAATCCGGTAACTGCCGAGATCCAAAGCCCAGGTCATTCACCTTTTGCTATTCTATGCTCATTTATTTGTTCATTTGGGATATTTGATAACAACCAGGGACATGGAAGAATGTGAACTCCCAGAGTTCCTCCTGAGATGAAAAAGAAAGCCCTGTGGAAAAGTGGGTAGAAGATGCTATTCTGGCTTCACCCATTCTTGTAGGAAGCAGACAGGAAAGTTAGGTCTACCCTGCCCTGAGCTAAGGTAAAGAACTTCAAATTTGCCCATTTCTCCACCCTTAACTCAGACTCTCTCTCCTCTGTCACCTTCAGGAACTTCAGGTTCCAGGTTGCTGTTCTTTTTTTTTTTTAAGATTTTTATTTATTTATTATGTATACAACATTCTGCTTCCATATATATCTGCACATCAGAAGAGGGCACCAGATCTCATAACGGATAGTTGTGAGCCACCATGCGGTTGCTGGGAATTGAACTCAGGACCTTTGGAAAAGCAGTCAGTGCTCTTAACCTCTGAGCCATCTCTCCAGTGCCCCCCCCCCCAGGTTGCTGTTCTTAACTTTTAGCCTCTGTCCCTGTGAGCAGAGCCCCTCTGCCCTTATTCAGGCTCTGGGCCAAAGCCTCCTCCAGGCTCTTTATGGAAGTCACTCTGCCTGTCTCCTAAGAGACTTGGTTAATGTTTAAGATAGGCTAGGCTGAGCTCTAGCTTTACTGCTCACAATTTATGTGATCCCAACAAGAATTTAAGATTTCTGGGCTTCTGTTTTTCCTCATATTTTAAATGGGAATTAAAAAAGAAAGTCTAAGCCAGACGTTGGTGGAGCACACCTTTAGTCCCAGCACTCGAGAGGCAGAGGCAAGTGGATCTCTGTGAGAGACCAGCCTGGTCTACAAGAGGTAGTTCCAGGAAAACCTCCAAAGCCACAGAGAAACCTAAAGTCTAAAATGGGTGTGGCAGCCTAGACCTATAATCCTAGCATGTGAATGATGGAGTCTAAGAGAATCAGAATTTCAAGGTCATCTTTAGCTTTATAGAGTCAGTGGCCAGGTTGAGCTACTTGAGATGTACAACAACAAAAATCCAAACCAACCAAATAAACAGACAAAAACAACCTAGAACAAACAAACAAAACAGAAAGTCTAATTTATAGGATTGTTATACAGAAAAAAAACCACATTGCATGTTTAAGGTATGTTTTCATTGCACATTTAAGGCTTGTTTTATTAGTATAGTCTGGTGTAGTTCTAGCTGGCCTGGAACTCATAGAAATCCACAAGCCTTTGCCTCCTGAGTGCTGGGATAAGAGGCATGAACCACCAAACTCATCCCATTTGCTTAAATTTTGCCATGGGATCTCACTATCTTTTGCCCAGAAGGCTTTTAAACTTATAGGATCAAATGAACCTCTTGCCTCAACCTCCAGAGTAGCTGGTAATACAAGTATGACCCACTGGCTTATTATCTGGGATATTATTACCCCCTTCTTTCTGTCTCTACAGCGGCCTCCTCACAAAGGTAACAAACTAAAAGCTCCACTTCCAAGCTGGAGAGGTAACTAGCAGTTAAGAATGCTCACTGCTTCTGCAGAAGAGCCTTTAGTTCCCTGCACCCACACAGGGTACATCCAACCATCTATAACTCCAGCTCCAGGGAATTTAAGGCTGTTGTCTTCTAGTCTTTGCAGGCACCACACATGTGAACACACACACACCACAAACACACACTAAACAAACAAACAAACAAACAAACAAATAAATAAATAAATAAATAAAATATCCACTTCCTTGGCTGTGGTAGAAAATAGAAATACCCCCAATTTGGGAAGTGGAGGTAGAAGGATGATCACTGCAAGTTCAAGGACAGCTGGGACTACATAGTGAGTCTTAGGTAAGCCAGGATTACATAGTGACACCCTTTCTCAAGAAAACAAAATACAGTCGGGTGGTGGTGGCTCAAGCCATTAATCCCAGCACTCTGGAGGCAGAGGCAGGTAGATCTCTGTGAGTTCGAGACCAGCCTGGTCTACAAGAGCTAGTTCCAGGACAGCCTCCAAACTCCAAAGCCACAAAGAACCCCCCCCCCAAAGAAAACAAAAAACAAAGTAATAAAAATAAATCTATTTCCTCGAGTCAGGGAATGCAGCTCAAGTGGTAGAGCATTTGTCTATCATGTGCAAAGTCTTGGGCCCAGTCCCCAGCACACACACACACACACACACACACACACACACACACACACTTACCACCACCTCCACATCCCACAATCCCTCTAGCAGTGCTCTCTGTTCTGTTCTGACCCTCTTGGTGCTTGTTATTCTGTGTCCCAAAGCAGGAAGAAAAACTTATTCTAAAACCCCATAGCTGTTCTCTTACACAGACTAGGAAACAAAGACTGAAAAAAACAAATCTCAGAAATAGCCAAATAGCAGAATGGGGTGGGTGTGCATGCCTATAAACCTAGCACTCTGGAGGCTGAGTCAGGAAGACCAAGAATTCAAGGTGGCTGGGTGTGGTGGTTCACACCTGCAATCCTAGCACTTGGAAGGTTGAAGCAAGAGGATTGCATCAAGTTTGAGGCCAATCTGGTCTGTAAAGTGAGACTTCTCAAGATAAATAAAGCCAGACTTGGTAGCTCACACCTATGATCTCAGCACTGGAGGCAAAAATAGGCAGGTTTCCGAGTTCAAATCCAGCCTGGTCCACACCAGAAGCTCCAGGACAGCCAGAGTTATATAAACACTGTCACAAAAAATGTAAAATAAACCAGTAGGGGCTGGAGAGATGACTCAGTGACTAAGAGCACTTGCTGCTCTTCCAGAGGACCCAGGTATGACTCCTAGCAACCACATAGGGATTCATAACTATCTATAATGCCAGTTCTAGGGGATCTGAATCACCTTCTAGCCTCTGCATATGGTACACAGATGTACATGCACACAAAACACTCAAGAATATTAAATAAAATTTAAGTTAAAAAGTAAATAAACAGCCAGGTGGTGGTGGCACATACTCAGGAGGCAGAGGCAGAGGCAGAGGCAGAGGCAGAGGCAGGTGGATGTCAGTAAGTTCAAGACCAGCCTGCTCTACAAAGCAAGTTCCAGGACAGCCAGGACTGTCTCAAAAAACAACAACAACAACAATAAAAAAAACCCAAACTGGGTGGTGGTGGTCCACACCTTTAATCCCAGCAGTTGGGGGCCAAAGGAAGGCGGATCTCTGAGAGTTGAGGCTAGCCTGGTCTACATAGTTCCAAGATAGTCAGAGCTAAAAAGTGAGACCCTCTCGAAAAAACTAAATACAAACAAATAAAAAATTTCAAGGCCCATAGTCATACAGCTAAGAAATGACAGAACCAGAATCTGAGCCCCTGACCTGAATAATTGGAGAGCAAGAACTTGTGAAGACCCTCTTAATCAGAAATAGTGGCCCGGGGAAATCAGAGCAGGAGCCCAAGAAAGAAAGGTTTACAGAACCTTGGAGTGGGAATGTCTCCTTTGTAGGCACACAGTGCCACCTGCTGGCAGAATGGCCAGGGCTATGCACAGAGGTCCAAAACATGGAGGGGGGGAGGCGAAAAGAGAAAAAGGTGAGGGGCAAAAAGATGAAGGGAAGGAGTTGGAGAGATGGCTTAGAGGTTGAGAGGTTGCAAAGGACCCTTGTTTGATTTCCAGCTCCCACATGGTGGTTCAAAGCCTCCTATAACTCCAGTTCCAGATCTGATGTCCTCTTCTGACCTTCAAGAGAACCAGGCTCACAAATGCACACAAAAGGATATTTTTAAAAAAGATGAAGGGAAGAGAAGGATGGGGAACTTGAGGTTTTATGGAGGGAAGAGGACAAAGAGCCATTTCCTGTTCTGAGGAGAGAACAGAGGTTGCCAGACTGTGAGACTGTGACCATTTCCTTGAAAGTGTATGTGTGTGTGTGTGTGTATGTGTGTGTGTGTGTGTGTGTGTGTGTGTGTGTGAGAGAGAGAGAGAGAGAGAGAGAGACACAACAGAGACAGAGAGATAGAGTACATGTTTATGTATGTGCATATGTGTATGTATGTGTGCTCCAATAAATGTGTGTATGTGTGTGTCCACTAGTATGTTCATGTGTGTGTGTGTGTGTGTGTGTGTGTGTGTGTGTGCGCGCGTGTGTGTACACACGTGCACGAATGTGTGTGCACATTCAGGAGTACCATGTTATATATATGACTGTGAGTTTTGTGTGTAAACATGAGAGTGGCAGCCTGAGCAGATATGGGTGCCAATGAACACTGAGGGGGAAAAATCATATTACACTATCGTGAAGCAGGGCACACACAGAAGTTCTGGAAAGACATTTGTTCTACTCCTGACTCTGCTGCCCTCTAAACCCCTTTCCTGAGACCCAGAGAGGTAGAGCCTATAGGGACATTTCCAAGTGGAGATTTGCTTACTGCTTTTGGTGTTGGGAACCTATCTCTGGGCAGTAGGGGGCAGCAGGGGCAAAGGAGGCTGATCCACCATGGGTGGGGCCAGCAGGCTGGCGGGTGGGCTCCCAACAGAAGGCTTTTAAAGCACCTGCCCCACCTGCAGGTGAGCAGTGTTGTGTGAGGACTAGGCGATTTCTCATCTTTCTGCCAGCACCTTAAGTGGCAGCTTCCTGGAGCTGTTCTGTTCTTTCAGGAGCGCAGCAGATTCTGTTTAGAACCTATTGCCAAGAGCCCTGAGCAGGTGAATGTATAGGGCAAAGATTAACCTATGAATGGATACCAATGTGGAAACAGGTTTGGGGTGCTGGAAAAAGCCAGGGGGTGGGTACTGGAAGAGTATAAGATTGACCTGGGAAGAGGACTAGGAAAGGCAAGTGTCCTGCATGTGGGAGTCAGGTTTGTAACACCTGTGTGAAAGATTAAGAGCAGAGAATTAAGTTCTGGTATACCTGGGTAGTACAGGTGGGCATGGTGTCAGGATGGGAACTGGGAAAGTTCTGCCATGTCTGAGTCCAGACACGGGGTGAGAAATTTGTGAGAAATCACAGGATGTTAGACTCTTGAAAGCAGGGCCAGCCTGGGGCAGGTGGGACGTGAGGCTCTAACTTGTTCATGTCTGTTTCCCAGGACCCACCATGAAGTGCTTCAGATTCATTAAGGTCATGATGATCCTCTTCAACCTACTCATCTTTGTAAGTATAGAGATTGTGGGCTTCTGGGGGTTCCCTACGTAAGCGGGTCACAATCTGAACAGAGCCCAGGCTGGGGAAATGGAAGACTATGTACCCAGACTCTGCCCTCCAAATTCTCCTTTATTGGTGACTCCTGACCCCACTAATAGCCTGGCTGCCACACGGGAGTTTGGGTGAAGATGGGGAGGTTAAGGATGGAGAAGCTTAAGGCTCTCACCTCCCTTCCCGGAGGGATTAGTGTAGGTCGGGATTGGCTAGCACAAGGGATTTCCCCCCTTTTTAACAGGTATTCAAGGTTCAGAGAGGACAGAGGGTTTGCTTAAGTTTATAGTGCAAAAGTGACTAGCGGATGTGGAAAATCCATGCATCTTAGAGTTGACTCTAGCAACCCTATGTGTTCAATAAACATTCACTGAGTGGGCTGACATTTAAGGGATTGTTGCTCAGTGGTACAGCATTTGCTTAGCAAGCATGAGGCCACAAACAAAAAGGAAAACATTTTCATTGACTAACACTCTATGCTACATGCTAGGGTAGAAGGCAAGCAAGGCCATTTACTGCCCTTGAGAACCAGTAAACCAAAGGGGCTGATAATTGTCAAATAGGCTGATAATTGCTATATACACTGATAATTGCAAAGAGGTACTTTCAGATTTACCACCAAGGCTCAGGGAGCCCCTGGCGGGGTTTGAATCTAGCCTAGTAGGAAAACCCTTCTTGGAGGAAGTGGCTGAAGCTGGGAATTTGCATTGGGTGGAGGAGCTGTAAAGTGCGTAGGAAGGCCCGGAGGTAATGAAATTTGATATTTAGAAAACCAGGAACAGATTATATAGGGCTTGTTTGAGAAGCTGAGCCATGAGGTCCAAGCCCTGGAGATAAAGACAGAGATAAGAAGAAAGGGCTACAGTAAACAAGGGGTTCATTGCAGAGGGGTGGCAGAACAAAGAAGAAGTCTCAGGAATGGCTTGAGCAATGCGGGGAGAAGGAAGGGGTCATCCCGCAGGCTCGTGTGTACTCTGTGGAGGTGCTTGGATATTTGAAAGTCACGTGCCTGTGAGCAGCCAATGGAGTTACAGGGGTGGGGTGGAACCCTGGCAACAATATGGGAAAATCTATTTTCCACCCCCTCCCCAGCCCCGGGGAATATTTTAGAACCCTGATCTAAAAGAGAGTGAGTTTTTGGAAACTGGAAGTATTAGAGATGAGCAGAAAAATGGCTACGGTGGAGGAGACTTGGAGCAGCAGGAAGGGAGGGAGGGAAACAAGAAGTTGTCGGGGCGGGTGGCCCCAGAGAGGACGAAGTGAAAGGGGAGACAGTTTAAAGAAATTGCGCACAGGAGTCGGGCGTTGGTGGCACACACCTTTAATCCCAGTCCTTGGGAGGCAGAGGCAGGCGGATCTCTATGAGTTAAAGGCCAGTCTAATCTACAGAGCAAGTTCTAGGACAGCCAGGGCTGTTATACAGAGAAAACTTGTCTCTGAAAACCAGAGACAGGAAAGAAGAAGGAAAGAAAGAGGGGGAGGGAGGGAGGAAGATAGAAAGAAAGAAAGAAAAAGAAAGAAAGAAAGAAAGAAAGAAAGAAAGAAAGAAAGAAAGAAAGAAAGAGCCAGGCGTTGGTGGCGCATGCCTTTAATCGGGAGGCAGAGGCAGGCGGATCTCTGCGCGTTCAAGGCCAGCCTGGTCTCCAGAATGAGTGCCAGGATAGGTTCCAACGATACACAGAGAAACCCTGTCTTGAAAAACAAAACAAAACAAAAAAACAAAAACAAAAACAAAACAAAAAGGAAGGAAGGAAGGAAGAGGGCATAGGGTAGGTAGTCTCTTTGATTCCAATGCAGTCTGTACGTTGGACTCCCTTTGGTTTCCATGAATTAGGTTTTATTCATATAACTGAAGGAAGTACTAGGATTTCAACAATTGGGAGAGCCAGGACTTTGTCCTGATAGGGTTAAAGGCAAATGCAGTTTGGTATCTGTCCTCTGTTGCCCAGGCCCTGCCAGACTGGGCAGAACAAGGTAGGAAAGCCAGGCTCCTTGAAATTTGACCCTGTAGGCTAGAAGCCCAGCTCTCTTGTCCTAAAGCAAACATCCTGGGATACACTCACAATACACATACATACATACATACATAGATACATACAATCTTTACCCCCATCCCAGACTCAGTTCCTTAGCTGGACAATGGGAGCTGGGCATATAGTGCCCAGTGCTGATCCACCAAAGCCCTAGGGTCAGCAAAGGTTTGCTAGGAACTGTGGGGTCAGGGCCTCCACTGACCCGCCCTCAGAGCCTCAAGAAACCTGAGGTTTCAAAGTCAGTGTCTTGAAGAGAAGCTGTATTTGTGTTCAACCTCTGTTTTCTCAGTTTCTGCTTGTCAGATGAAAAAGGAGTGAGTCTGGCAGCTGATTCTGCCCTGGAGGGGACTCAAATATGGCCTTTGGGTGGGTGAACCCCTCAACCCCCCTCCACCTTCTTTCAAAGTTGCAAGCAGGTGGAAGCCTCACCCTGCTGTTACTATAGTAACAGCCAGCTCAACACTACCACCTGCCAGCTTCCAAGTATCAGAGAACAGAGTTACTCTAAGCACCCACAACCCAAGAATGAAAGACTGGGCCCATTTTCATTCTTACCTATGTGGCAGGACCCTGGTTCCAGAAAAAGGAAAACTTTGTGTCTCCTCTGAGCCTGTGGATGTTTCTAGAACCCCTGATCTCATTTTTATCTTCCCAGGTGAACAGACTGGTGAATTTGTTATGTGCCCCAGTTCCAATCTTTTTAGTGCTAGTTAATGTTTCGCTCCATGCACAATAGTTTGTTAAATTCCCTAGTCAAGGAAAGGGAAAGTTTCCAGACTTGATGGTGTGAAAGGGAACAATTTGCTAGCACTGTTTCAAAGCCTGACTTCTGTTCCTAGCTGTGTGGTGCTGCCCTGTTGGCTGTGGGAATCTGGGTGTCGGTCGATGGGACATCCTTCCTGAAGATCTTTGGGTCACAATCATCAAGTGCCTTGCAGTTTGTCAACGTGGGCTACTTCCTCATCGCGGCTGGTGCTGTGGTCTTTATTCTTGGTTTCCTGGGCTGCTACGGAGCTCACTCTGAGAACAAGTGTGCGCTCATGATGGTGTGTCAGACCCAGCTCCCTAGGCCACAACCAAGGGTCCCTTCATCCCTGACATCAGCCTGTGGGGATCCCAAAAACCTACTCTGGATTCCGGGAGCTCACCATGGGGACCCCCTGCCTCTTTTGTGGGAGTGGGTAGGGCAAGGAAGGCAAGTCTCCCTAAAACGTATTTCCTTGTTTCCCACTCAGTTCTTTGTCATCCTCCTCATCATCTTCATTGCTGAGATTGCAGCTGCTGTGGTTGCTTTGGTGTACACCACAATGGTGAGGCACAGGGATGGGCTAAGGGAGAAAAACTGATCAAAGCCCCACGAAGTAGGTGGTGGCCTGTGAATGGCTCTTTCCTAACAGTCTCTTAACAATGGTCCAACCCATCCAGGCCGAACAATTCCTGACATTGCTGGTGGTGCCTGCCATCAGAGATGACTATGGTAACCAGACTGAATTCACCAACGTGTGGAACTCTACCATGGAAGGGGTAAGGTGGGCTGGAAGGATTTGAGAGTGGAGAGGAAAAAAAAGCAAGGCCCCATCAATCAACAATCCCATTTTGTCTGCAGTTGAAGTGCTGTGGTTTCAACGGCTATACAGATTTTAACAACTCAAGTTACTTGAAAGAAACTAGCTTCTTCCCTCCTTACTGTTGTTTCAACTCTACCAGTGGGATACTTGAGAAACCATGCAATGAGGAAAAGGCCAAACAGTTAGAAGTACAGGTATGGGCTGTCATGGAAGGATGGGATTACTTTTTTTTTATTTTTCAAGTCACGGTTTCCCTGGGTGGCCTTGGTTATCCTGGAACTCTCTCTGTAGATCAGGCTGGCCTCAAACTCAAGACAGCCACCTGCCTCTGCCTCTTGAGTGCTGGGATTAAAGGCGTGTACCATTACTGCCTGTTATGGGTGGGACTGCTTTAATGAACTTATAGTAGTAGTAAATGGGTCGGAGGTAGGGCACTGCCAGCTATAAATACTTCCTCTCCTCCCCCAAGGGTTGTTTCAAACAGCTTCTTCATAGCATCAGAACCAATGCAGTCACTGCGGGTGGTGTGGCAGTTGGAATTGCAGCCCTGGAGGTAAGCCAGTGAGGAGACTGGACCTGGGTATCAGTCTTCACTAGACCTGTACAGATTAGCCCATCTGTGAGGCTTCTCTAGAGGAGAAGGATTTCTTTTTTGTTTTTCGAGACAGGGTTTGGAGGTTGTCCTGAACTTGCTCTGTAGACCAGGCTGGCCTCGAACTCCCAGAAATCTGCCTGCCTCTGCCTCCTGAGTGCTGGGATTAAAGGCGTGCGCCACCACAGCCCAGCGAGGAGATTTCTTGTGTTTTCATTCTGGAGCTGAGGACTGAACCCAGAGGCCTATGGATGCCAAACATGTCCTCTACTATTGAGAAAGCAGTGCTTCATGAAGCTGTTCAGGGTGGGCCGGAAACCAACCTCGAGGATCTCATCATGTCCTTTCATGTCTCCCTGTTCCTCCCCACCAGCTGGCAGCCATGATTGTGTCCATGTATCTATACTGCAATCTGGAATAAGACTGCTTCTTCCTTCCCACTTGCTGCTGCCACATGGAAACAGGAAGAGGCGCTTGGCACAGCTGAGCAGCAGTGAATCTAGCAATGTCGTTTGGGCTGGAATGGATTTACCTTTGCTGCTCTGGACTTTGGGCTAAACACAACCACCTCTTTCAGGCTGTGTCTGCCCTGTTCTACTGGTGGGGCTGGAGGGACATCTCTTCTAGTCTCTGAAGCAGCCACTTCTGCCCATCTCGAGTCTTTTCTTCAACCCTTGCCACTACCTTAGTATAAAGGTCGCTCTTGATGATCCCAGTACTCCACTGGTGGATGATGGCACTTACAGCCTGGGCATAATCAAGTCCAGCAAAGCCATAGAAAGGATGTGTAGAAGGCATTTTGGAACATATAAACCAATGAAAATATTTCACTTTGGACTGTGTGTGCTTGGAGAGATGGGTTCAGCTCGCCTAAGTCGCACTGATTTTTATGAGGCTGGAGACACAGCAGGGTGGAAAGAGGGCTTCAGGCCTGGGAGGGAGAGTAAGAATGACCAACAGGACCCTGAGGAAGGGGGAGCTGGGGTGGCCTGCCTGTATGTATTGAGGACTTTGTCCTGAAAGTTCTCCCTCTTGGTAAAGGCACTGGGCTGGAAAGCTGTGAAAGTAACAAGCTTGTGCCAAGGAGGGGAGAACAGAATTGTTGTCAGGGCTGCAGGGGTGGAGTCACTCTTCAGGCTCCAAGAAGCCCTCCAGGAACCCTGATAAGTAGCTCTAAGCTGTGTGCCCTACTTTGGAGACTCTCAAATCTTTTCTTTGGTGTTGGCCTATCCATTTCTCTAACGATATGTATTTTTGGGGGGAGTTGATTTACACATTTTTATTGAAGGGCAACAGGGGAGAGGGTCTCTCCCATCAATGGGAATATTTACATGTTCTTCAGCTAATCCGGATTTGTGCCCTGAGGGTGGCTGGGCATATTGGCTTTGTTCCCACCATCTTGAACAGGAAATGGGTAGTTGTAGGGTGTGGCCTGGTTGGTCATGGTAACATACTTAATGTACAAGCTGAAAGTGTATTATATCGAGGCTCCTTACAGCAATGAACACCAACAGCTCTGGCTCCTTCACCTAGCTGTTTTTTTTTTCTTTTCTTTTCTTTTTTTGAAACAAGGTCTATGTAGTTCTGGTTGTTCTAGAACTCACTTTGTAGACCAGGTTGGCCTGCAACTCAGAGATCTGCCTGCCTCTGCCTCCTGAATGCTGGCATTAAAGTTGTGCACCATCATACATAGCCAAGATCTTACTTTTGTTGTTGCTGTTCTTGTTTTAAGATGGGGTATATGTGTGTGTGTGTGGGGGGGTGGTGGTCTCATGTAATCCAGACTGGCTTTGAATTTTTTTTTTTAAGACTTATTTAATACATAGTGTTTCATCTGCATGTATGCCTGCACACCAGAAGAGGGCACCAGACCTCATTATAGATGGTTGTGAGCAACCATGTAGTTGCTGGGAATTGAACTCAGGACTTCTGGAAGAGCAGCCAGTGCTTTAAACCTCTGAGCCATCTCTCCAGCTCCTGACTTTGAACTTTCTATACAGCTGAGAATAACACTGACTTTCTGCCTCTATCTCCTAAGTGCTGGGTTTACAGATAGGTGTCACCACACTTGTTTTTTTTTTAATATGGGATCACATAAAACCCGGGAGTCACACCCAGCCTCATGTGTGCCAGGAAACACACTACCGCTTGATGTACTTCCTAGTCTTTACTTAGTTTTTAGTTGCCAGAGTACCACAGATTATCAGTTGAAAAGCTGAGGCCAAGACTTCAACCAGACTGACTCCTGCAACTGGGTAGACCTTGCTTGGTACAGCGGGAGTCCAAGGCAGGGGCAGGCAGATCTTTGAGTTCAAGGGCAGACTGGTCTACAGAGAAGTTCCAGGACAGAAACCCTGTCTCCCAAATCAACAAACAAAACTGAATGTCTCTGAACTTCACGTGGCAGCACTAAGAAGGCTGCTGCCACAGGATAGTAGCTCCTACCAAGCAAAGCCCAGTTTGACTAACTGGCTCCCCTCCTCCCTTCCCTTTGACACCCCCCTACCACCCATCTGTCTCTATGGGCTTTTCCAGAGCAGCCCACAACGCTCACCCATTTGCTGGGTCCAAAAAACAGCAGAAACTTGGCCAGACTGATAATCTACTAGAGTTCTAGGTAGGGAGAGAAATTAATTGGCGTCAACCCTTTGCCAGCATCCTGTGCCTCACACACAACCATTGTATTCCTCCCATAGGTGCCTGTGTGAAAGCAGGGATGGGGGTGAAGGGGGGTTTATTTGCCCAGGGAGGGCTTCACCATGGACTAATTGTTACTCCTGTGCTTGCTTTGCCACCTAAAACACTAGCTCCAGCAAACACTGAAGTAGCCAGGGTGGTGAGCAATGTCAAAGCCACCTCACTGACGCCATTACAGGGCTAAGCTCTAGGCACGAGTAAGAGAGGCCGGGACAGCAAACAGATAAAGGACAGGAATTTCAGTAAGTTCCTGACTCCTTGGCAAGATTTATAACCTTTCTTACAATACAGTCTACTCAGGTCCTGATCTTAATCCTTCAGAGACTTATTTTTAAAGGTCATGTTCCCCTGCCTTGAGCTATCTGATTCCCAATGGACCATACTGTCCGTTTTCTTGTGATTAACTCAGACTTTCCTATGCTCTTTTGAGTTACTAGCCTCTTGAGAATCTGATGAAAAACACAGGCCTTTCCTCCAGAAAAACATCCCTATATGGAATTCTGCAAACAACCAATCCAGAAGGTCACGGAAACCCTTGCTCCTCTATCTGCTTACCCAGCATTCTCCTACAAAATCATCTCCCACACCTCTGGGGCTGCTACGGCTTTTGGCCCAGTCACTTCCTGTCTCCATTATTTACCTGCTCTCCCATTCCCTCATCCAACCCTAAGTATTCCTTGTGGTCTCTTCTAGCTACTGCACTTTCAGGGACAGGTGCTGGGCCCAGACCAACAAAGAAGGGACCAGGCCGATGGTGAACAGTGAGGAAGGGGTGTGAGATGGCCGCTTGTGGATGGGGAAGGGATAAAGTCAGCTGGTGCCAGGGTGGAGCCTGCTTAAAACAAACAAAAACAAAAGACTTGAAGCTTAGGCTTGGGCATCCCCTGGTGGCCAAATGGCTTCTACAATAAGATAAAACTATGGCAGACAGAAAAAAACAAAAACAGAAACAAAAAAACCTCACCATCCATCCAGATGGTTCATCCCTTCACCGCCACACTGTGCTCCCCACAAAACTACCACAAAACACACCCCCAGAGGTTTTCTCCTTTTTTAATCAATGACCACCTTTATCCAGCTTTGGAAATCTGGACAAAGAGAAGGCTGAGAGGAGGCCTGGTCCAGTGTCTAAGGGTCTCTGAGTGAATCTGTCAGCACATGGGCCCAACTGGGCCTGTCATCAGTTGGGCACAGCAGTTTCCTGAGTATGAGCCAGTCCCACCCTCAGGGCAGTGTCCTGGTCCAGAGGGGAATAAAGGCCGCAGTTCGGGCCTATTCCCAAGGCCTTCAGGACGGTCAATAAATAGGTTAGATTCTGAGTCAGGCCTGGGAGGATGGGGTGTAAAAAGGGCAGGATCGGCTGCCCAGAGATCCAAAAGAGGTCCTGGGTGCTCTCCTGCCCTTCTCCAACAAGGAAGTAATAAATAGACCTTAACCTCAGGAACAGGGGTGTTGGATCAGGGGACCCTTCCCCTCAGAGTTAGTAATTAAATCTCATGTTAAAAACAAACCAGCCCTAACCCCTACCAGCATCTACAAAATCCTACAGGATAGGGCGACGGGCTAGCCTGCCTGGGGGTACACAGTACCCAGCCCTGCAGGGTCCTGGAGGAGGCTTCATGTTTGTTCAGCGGCCCCTGGGGCTCCTTCTTCCTTTGGGGGTGGCTCCAGGAAAATAGGGGTGACTGATGGTGGCTTCTTCACTCTGAAATTTAACAGAAGAATGACACAGAGAAGAGGACACGCTTCAACCCCAGGAGGACATTTCCTACAGCAGAAGAGGTGACTCACGAGTAAGGGGAGGCTGGGACCCCGACCACCAAAAAGTGGTTCTTCTTCCGAAATAATCTCCACAAGCCCTGGTGGTTGCCACGAACATCCAGGTCCCAAATATGGAGGCACTGGCAGGGATAAAGTGGGGAAAGAGATGTGTCAGGAAGCTGTGCAGACGGCCCACTGAAGGTCTAGCAGCTGCCTCAATCCTCTGCAGTATGGATTTGAGCAAGGGATTAGAAGAGTGGTCCTGTGTGTGTTTTTTTGAAACAGGGTTTCTCTGTGTAGCCCTGGCTATCCTGGAACTTGCTCTATGAACCAGGCTGGCCTTAAATCTAAGAGATCCACCTGCCTTTGCCTCCCCAAGTGCTTGTATTAAAGGTGAGCCCACCATACAACCACACCTGGCCAGGAAGGTTCTTGAAAGCATGAGAAGGTTCTGAGGTTGAAAACTCTACAAAGACTCTCTGCTAGTTGGGACAATGCATGTTGGTGAGGGTACTCCTGAGGTAGGTGAAGCCCTGGGGCACCTTGGCAAGCTGAGTCCAGGTGGTAAAGTCATCATCTTTCTCCATTCGGATGAAGGCTACATAGGTATGGCCCTCTGTGTCTGGCAGAAAGGAGTCTTCACAAGGGTCCTTGCTGTGATCCAAAACTACAGCTTCACTGCATTGGGGGTAGAATGGAAAGGTAAGATCAAGACAGGGCACACTTTCTAGGTGTGGCACACAGGGTCCGAGGCTTGACTTAATGCTCTGTTGCTACCATCTTGAAATTCTTTTTTTTTTCTTTTTTTAAAGATTTTTTAAATTATGTATACAACATTCTGCTTCCATGTATATCTGCACACCAGAAGAGGGCACCGGATCTCATAACAGATGGTTGTGAGCCACCATGTGGTTGCTGGAATTGAACTCAGGACCTCTGGAAGAGCAGCCAATGCTCTTAACCTCTGAGCCATCTCTCCAGCCCCATCTTGAAATTCTTTTTTGTTGTTGTTTTTTCAAGACAGGGTCTCTCGGTGTAGCCCTGGCTGTCCTGGAACTCGCCTGTAGACCAGTCTGGCCTCAAACTAAGAAATCCTCCTGCCTCTGCCTCCCGAGTGCTGGGATTAAAAGTGTGTGCCACCACTGCCTGTCCATTTTGAAATCCCTAATAAAGTTTGCACTAGAGAACTCTAGTTTTCATTTTTTTATAGTGCCCATAAATTATCACACCCCTGCCAGGCATCCCAATTGTCCTACGTACTTGAGCAGCCTGTGAATTTCCACTTCATAAGCTTCTTTCTTCAGACTGAAAGGGAGGGAGAAATGAGTCAAGGGAAGGTGAGGCCCTTAGGGCCATGGAAAGGAATGGGCCGGGCAAAAGGTCACATAGGGAAAAGGTACAGCAGGGTTGAGGTAAATACCCAAGGCCCTGGACAGGAAAGAACTAGCAAGGGCTGGCCATCAAGCTTTCAGATATCCACCCCCTTGACCCGCTGCCAGTCTCTACCTGTCTACATTCCTGAGCTGGACACCTGGAACCGTGTTGAACTTGTGCTTCTTGAAGTAGGCCTCCTGAAACAGCAATAAGGATAAAAGTCAAGGCTTTCTTTATTCTACTCCACACTTGCTCACTGACCCACTACAGAACTACAAGACCCCAAAAATGAAGTACTGAGCCTGGAAAGGGCTCTGATTTCCTCCAGTCTCCATTTTCTTTGCATCATCTTTGACAAGCTCTTACTAGCTTTAATTAAGGCTGGACCCTTGGCTCATGCTACTGACCCATGAACTACTCCATTCCCACTGGTTTTTCTCAGGCTTGCTACAGAGCCTTAGAAATAAAGAAGGTGGAGGCTGGAAAGTCAGAAGTTTAAGACCAGTCTCAGCTACACAGTTTGGAGACAGCCTGTCTAAAAAAAAAAAATCAAGGGCTGGAGAGATGGCTCAGAAGTTGAGAGCATTGGTTGTTCTTCCAGAAATCCTGAGATCAATTCCCAGCAAACATATGCTTGCTCACAACCATCTATAATGAATCTGATGCCCTCTTCTGGCCTTCAGGGAGACACACAAACAGAATACTGTATATATAACAAACAAATAAATCTTAAAAAAATTTAAAAATGATTTATTAAAAAACAAGAGGGATGGTGGAGACACACACACACACACACACACAGAGCAAGAGAGACAGAGAGGAGACAAAGAGGAGAGACAGAGATAGAGAGACAGATGTGTGTGTGAGAGATAGAGAGAGAGAATTTCTTTTGGATATAGCAATAGCCAAGATGGAAACTGCTAATTCAGGCTCTACGAATGACCCGAGGAAGCACTTGCTCTTCCTTGGGAAATAAGACTCTTTTATTAGCTTCCTCTGGGGGGGGGGGAGTGTCTTGCTGTCCTCTAGGAGGTTCCAGACTAAATACACCCCTTTCAGCTGGACTGTTTCAAATGCACTCTTATTATAACAAGATGTGGACCTCTAGATACAGCCAGGTGGAAGAGAGGGACTAGGGACATCCTGGCTAGTCTTGGGCTGAAACGTGTGCCAATGCTTGCAAGGACAGAAAGCCCAGAGCTTAAAACAGATATAGACTTTCTGCACCCACAGTCCAGTGATAAGAACAGTAGTAATGTATAATACCAGCCACTCTAATACAAAGCTTACAGTTTTTAACATATGCATTTTACATGTATGAACTCACAAACTTCTTAATGAGGCTGGAGAGATGGCTCAGTGGTTAGGCGTATGTGCCACTCTCTTATAGAAGCACCCAGATGGTGGTTTACAACCATCTATAACTCCAGTCCCAGGAGATCTAGTGCCCTCTTCTAGATTCCTCAACTATCAGGTATGAACATGATTTTATATATATACAACAGGTAAAACACTCATATACAATTTTTTTTTTAATTCAGGGGCTAGAGATGACTCAGTGGTTAAGAGCATTTAATATTTTTGCAAAGGACCAAAGTTCTAGTACCCAGCTCCTACATGGTGGCTCATAACCATCCAGTTCCAGGGACTCCAATGCTGCCTTCTGATTTCCTCAGGCACTAGGCACACAGTGCACTTACTACACATAGGTAAAGCACTAAAGACACAATTTTTTGTTTTGTTTTGTTTTTTGAGACAGGGTTTCTCTGTGTAGCCTTGGTTG